AGATATTGGGCAGCCCAGAGTGAGGACGAGCCAGGGACACCCCACCAGCAGCTGCCATCACCCCAGAGGGTGCCCATCACACCTCCCCACCCTGTGCCCAGCAGGTCACACCACGAGTGCCCATCAAACGAGCCCCGTGTGTCCCCCAAAACCCCCTCTGCCCAGTTCATGCCCATCACACCAGTGTGGGCTCATCACACCAGGCTGTGCCCAGCCCAACAGCACGTCCCCATCACACCACACCACATCCCTGTGCCCACCACCCCACCCTGTGCCCATCTCACCAGGATGTGCCCACCAGACCACCCTAGTTCCACCTCCTCCCACCACCCCAGGACGTGCCCATCTCACCAGGATGTGCCCACCAGACCACCCTAGTTCAACCTCCTCCCACCACCCCACCCTGTGCCCATCTCACCAGGATGTGCCCACCAGACCACCCTAGTTCAACCTCCTCCCACCACCCCGGGACGTGCCCATCTCACCAGGATGTGCCCACCAGACCACCCTGTGCCCATCTCACCAGGATGTGCCCACCAGACCACCCTGTGCCCATCTCACCAGGATGTGCCCACCAGACCACCCTAGTTCAACCTCCTCCCACCACCCCAGGACGTGCCCATCTCACCAGGATGTGCCCATCACCCCCTCCCAACGTGTGCCCACCCCGTGCCCCCATTCCTTGCCCAGCAGGCCCTGTGTGGGCAGCTCTCCCAGGGTGGGGGACAGGGAGGGTTGGGTGATGCCCCCAGCCCCTGGGCCACCCCAGGCTGACCCTGGCTCTTTCTTTCCCCAGGCCCCAGGCACGTTCTTGCTGCAGACCCCCAAGGACCTTCTCGCCATGACTCTGGCTGGTATGGCACCACCCCGGGGCCACCCGTGGGCACTGGGGACAGCAGGGTTTGCCCAGCCCTATGGACCCAACCTTGGCACCTACCTAATTGGAGCAGAGTTCCATCCAAACCACCCCTGGGATTACCCCTGTCCTGGGCTGTTTGTGGTGAGGGGCACGTGGTTAACGTGCCAGGACAACCAGAGCATCCCTGGAGGGGTTTCCAAGCTGTGGAGATGTGATGTGAGGGACACGGGGCAGTGGGGACCTGGCAGGGCTGGGGGGGAGGGTTGATGATCTTGAGGGTCTCCTCCAATCAAAATTATTCTGATTCTAACCCATGTGGCCACCAGGAAAGGACCTTCTGACCCCAGGCCCACTGTCAAAGCCTTACAAGGGCTCGTAGTGACAGGCAGGAGGGGTTCAGATTGGGAGAGGGGAGCTTGACATGAGAAATGAGGAAGAAGTTCTTCACTCTGAGGGTGGTGAGACCCTGGCCCAGGTTGCCCAGGGAAGCTGTGGATGCTCCATCCCTGGAGGTATCCAAGATCAGGTTGGATGGAGCTCTGCTCTAGTGGGAGGTGTCCCTGCCCATGGCAGGGGGGCTGGAACTGGATGATCTTGAAGGTCCCTTCCAACCCAACCCATTCTGTGATGTCTTCCCAGCGTACAAAGAGAAGATGAAGGAGCTGCCTCTCGTCTCCCTCTTTTGCTCCTGTTTCCTCTCAGACCCCTTGAACAAACCAACATACACATACGAAGGTAGGACCCTTCTTCCCACCCACGGTCGAGGGGTGCAGGAGCAGTGGGGGGGCTGCAGACCCCCCTCCTTGGCACGAGTGGAGCCACCCTTTAACTGGAAGCCGTGGTTCACCAGTTTACTGGCCCTGATTGGAGACTGGGAGCTGGGTTGGGGGCTGGGTGGGGCTTGAGCATCCCCCTCCACCACGTCTCCACTGCACGAAGCGCCGGGCGTGGGCTCGGTATTTTTAGGTAGACAGCACTGGGTGATTCAGACTGATTCATGTCAGCAGGTCTGGAGGAGACACCAACGATGGAAGGGGCTGCCCAGCCTCAAGAGGCTTCTCTGGGTTAACTGTGGGGTGGTCTGCAGCTGGAAAAGGGTTTTGGGGTCCCATTCTCATTCCCTGAACCTCAAGGAGATGCCCAGCCCCTTCAACTCACCCAAACATTCCCATCTCACCCCCTTTGATGGACATCCTGGCGTCCCTACCCCAACCCAGGATGAGCCACACGGTTGCCCCTAGGGCGTGGAGATTTGGGCGAAACCCACAGAGACCAGGGCAGGTGGTGGCCTCTCGTGGGGGTGGCCAGAGGGGTGGGAGGATGCCCGTGGTGGTGGTGGTGGTGGTGGTGAGCCCATGCTCCTCTCCCAGCAGACACGGTGGACCTCACCTGGTGCGTCATCTCCGACATGGAGGTGATCGAGCTGAACAAACGCACCTCGGGGCAATCCTTTGAGGTCATCCTGAAGCCCCCCTCCTTCGATGGCATCCCCGAGTTCAACGCCTCCCTGCCCCGCCGCCGTGACCCCTCCTTGGAGGAGATCCAGAAGAAGCTGGAGGCGGCGGAGGAGAGGAGGAAGGTGGGTCTGGGGACACGCAGCCGTCCCCTCAAGGTGCTCACGGGAGGGATGCCCACTCCTGGGGGTGGCACC